AGTCTCACCCAGTCACCGGATCTAGAATCCAGTGGCTTCCTCACAGCTCACTGCCACCTCAAACTGCTGGGTTCAAACAATCCTCTTGCCTCAGCTTGTTACTACAGGCACTTGCCACTGCATCCAGCTAATTTTTCTACTTTTAGTAGAGATGGGGTCTCACTCTTGGTCAGGCTGGTCTCGAACTCCTAAACTCAAGTGATCCTCCGACCTCGGCCTCCCAGGGTCCTGGGATTTTAGATGTGAGCCACCAGGCCCAGCCCCAGGACTAGATTTCTGTTATCAACAGTATATATGCCTTTTAAGCTCAGGAACAGAGGGAATACTGACTCCTGGGAAAAAAAAAAAGATGAAGGGATAGTGTTGCCAAAGAAAGTAATAAAAACAGCAATAACAAAAAACCCTGGCACTTTTCAAACAATTGAACCCTTCTTAGGTTTATATTCAGGTCCAAACACCAGAAGCATACCAGACTCAAAGATAATGAAACAGATAAGGAATCTTTGAAAAAGATTCCGATGAGCTCCCCACCTTTAGAAATTCAGAAACATTGCGCTTGGGGTTTTGCACCCAAGTGGCCTCACCTCACTTTGGTCATTTCATCCCTGAACAGGAGTTCAACTGGAAGACCCCTCATGCTCAGAGGAAAGTGTGGCTGTGGCGCCTCCGACCTCCTGGGCTCCTTGGGAATGAAGGTCACTGCCGTTCTCGTCATCGTCATCTGCCGTAAGTAGCAAGCCAGCGGGGACGACACCATGGTTCTGTCCTCCCGTCTGTCCTCCTGTCTGGGGACCCCTCTGGAAAAGCCGCTCACAGGACAATCAGGAGCGGAACAGCCTTCTCTCAACCTTCTCCTGCTTCCGTGTCTGCTGTAAAATGGGCTGATCCCAGTGTCGAGATTGCAGAAAACTTGTAGGAAAGCAGAGGTTTCTAACCATTTGCTAAAAAGAGCACTTGACTGTTTTACCACCCTCCCCCCACCCCAGCCCTAGGAGTCTTTTTCTCTTTGAATGTTAGTTGCCTTTATTTAAAGTCATATGGATTCCAGAACAAAAATGCTAGCGTCTATCCAGCAAATTTAGAAATGATTGATGCTTATCAGAAAGACAGCCTGAGGGTGACTTACGGAATAGGTGGTAATTACAAGTCATTGCTACCAGGAGATCCGATTGCACACCCCTGCCAAGTGTGGGAAACAGTTTAGGAACTGTTAGAAGGTTCCTTGATGGATTCTTTTGCTTGATTAGTTGGGTAGCAATTGTTCTAATCCGTTTCCCTGTCTGTTTCAGCTGTGTTGCTATAACTTTGGGTCCCTAAATCAAAAACATTAAAGATGGGCTTCTCTTTTCCCCTTTGCGGTGAAATTTAGTTTTCAAGATCATGGTGTAGGGGGTAGGGGGTACCCCTATGCAGAAAGGACCCCCTTCTGCAGCTCCCAGCGTGTCCTGAAGATCAGCCCCGGTGTGTGGCTCTAGCCCCCCTCCAAGGACAGCAGTGACCACCCTGGACTTCAACCCACCCCCACCCCCCTTCAGTCTTTCATGACAACAAGGTGTCTAAACACAGCAGCAAAATTGGAAGCTACCTGAGAAAAGTCCCC